TACCATAGTGAATGATTGGAGGAGTGCAGAGTGGAGACCCAAAGCCCGTTTGTAGGCCACTGGACATCCCCTTACAGAAGGGTCTCGGGGAGGAGATGAGCCAGTCAGGGTACGCTGTAGCAATAATGAAACATACAACTTTCCTCTAGTTCCTAAATGCTTCCTCCTCTCCCACTATCATGATCCCAATTTTACCTTACAAATATGGCTAGACCGGAGGATGTACACTGGCACAGATAGGAACTGGAAACACAGGGAATCCAGGGCGGATGATCCCTTCAGGACAAGTGGTGTGAGAGGTGATACTGGGAGGGTAGAAGGAGGGTGGGTTGGAAAGGGGGAACCGATTACAGGGATCTACATGTGACCTCCTCCCTGGGGGACGGACAACAGAAAAGTGGGTGAAGGGAGATGTTGGACAGGGCAAGATATGACAAAATAATAATGTATAAATTATCAAGGGTTCATGAGGGAGGGGAGAGCGTGGAGGGAGGGGGTAAAAAATGAGGACCTGATGCCGGGGGATTAAGTGGAGAGCAAATGTTTTGAGAATGATGAGAGCAATGAATGTACAAATGTGCTTTACACATTTGATGTATGTATGGATTATGATAACAGTCGTATGAGCCCCTAATGATTTTTAAAAAGTTGTATAAGCCCCTAATAAAACGATTTTTTAAAAAAAGAAAGAAATGTCTAGAAAAGAACGATGGCAACATATGTACAAATATGTCTGATACAATTGATGTATGGATTGTAATAAGAGTTGTAAGAGCCCCCAGTAAAATGATCTTAAAAAAAAAACCAATACAGCTCACATGTCATTCTTAGATCTAATCTACCAATTTTTATAGCTTTATGAAAATAAAATCTAGATGACATAAAATCCACCCAAAGCATATAACTTAATCCATCAGTTTTCTGTCACTTTGTTGTACTGTGATGGCTTGCCTATTGCTGTGATGCTGGAAGCTATGTCACTGGTATTTCAAATACCAGCCAGGTCACCCAAAGTGAACATGTTTTTGCAGATCTTCTGGACTAAGAACAGGCTACAAAGAAGGGATAGGTTATTCACTTCTGAGAAATTAGGCACTGAAAATCATCTAAATGGCGGCAGAACATTGTCAGACATAGTGCCAGAAGATGATCCCCTCGGGTTAAAAGGCGTTCAAGTGATAACTGAAGAGAAGTTGCCTTCTCAAAGTAGAGTCGACCATAAGGCTTTGGATAGAGCAGTCTCTGGCATCTTCTATTGCTAAAGGGGCATGACTCAAAATGGAGAAGAAACACCTGCAAACAGCTATTAATTGGCATGTGGAATGGTGAAACCTAGGAATAGTATGGACCTAGGAAAACTGAAAGTCATCAAAAATGAAATATGCCACATAAAGCCTTATATCCTATGCATTAGGGGGCTAAAAAGGCAGGTATTGGCCATTTAGAATCAGACAATCATGGTTTACTATGCTGAGAATAACAAATTCAAGAGGAAAGGCATCACATTCATTGTCAAAAAGGACACTGCAAGATCTAGCTAGAAGTACAATGCTGTCTGTGATAGGGTAATATCTATCCTTACACAAGGAAATACAACTATTATTCAAATTTATGCACCAACTAAAGCTGGTGATACAAAATTGAAGAATTTTACCAACATCTTCAATCTTCAAGAAATTGATCAACTTTCATCATTATTAGTGACTGGAATGCAAAAGTTGGAGGCAAAGAGGAAGGCACACACACACAAAAAGAGGAAGGCACAGTAGTGGGAAAACATGGGCTCAGTGATAGAAACACAACTGAAGATTGCATGGCAGAATTTTGCAAGACCAACGACTTTTTCACCACAAATGCCTTTTTTTAAACAATTGCAAACAGTGACTATACACGTTCTGCATTTGGGCCAGGAATTTGTTCTACTGATGATATTGAGTTTCTTTATGGTCTCGTCTATACACATGGCTTCTCCAAATGGAATACATATAAATTAAATGGACCACATTTGTGGGAAAAGACAATGGAGAAGCTCAACATCAGCAGCTAAAACCAGGCCAGGAGTTGACTATGGAATAGACAGACCATCAGTTTCATATGTAAGCTCAGGTTAAAGCTGATGAAAATTAAAATAAGTCCACAAGGACCCAATTATTGCCTTTAGTGTATCACACCTGAATTTTGAGAACGTCTCAAAAACATATTTGACACATTGAACACTAATGATGGAAGACCTGCTGAGTGGTGGGAGGACATCCAGGACACCAGACCTGAAGAAAGCAAACGCTCATTCAAAATACTGAAAAGAAAAGATCAAAAGGGACGTCAGGAGAGACTCTGAAGCTCGCTCTTGATGATAGAGGAGGAGTTGTTCTGTGCTGTGGAGGTGGTTCTGAGCCGCAGCGCTGTGTACACAATAGAACAAAGCACTGCCGATCCTGCACCACCCTCCTAACAGCTGCTGTGCCCATTGTTTCAGCCCCTGGGTGATCCGCCTTGTTGACGGCCTTCCTATTTCTCCCTGCTGCTCTCATTTTCCAAGCATGCTGTCCTTCTCCAGGGATTGGTCTCTCCTGACAACATATTCAAAGTATGTAAGATGAAGTATGGCTATCTTTGCCTCTAAACTAAGTCAAATCAAGAAATCAAAGAGCTGAACAGAAATGTTCAAAGGGCAGCTTGAGAAGCCAAAGTCGAATATTAAAATGAAATGTACAAAGACCTTAGAGCAAGAAAGCCAAAAAGAACAAACTCAGCATATCTTACAGTGAAAACCTAAAAAAAAAAAAAAATCTAGCCTCAAATTGCAATGTTGAAAGATTCTATGGACAAATTATTAAACATTGCAGGAAGCACCAAAACATCATGAAAAGAATATAGTCATTGTACCCAAATGAGTTACTCTATATTCAACTATTTCCAAAGGAAGCATATAATCAAGAACCAATGATACTGAAGAAATAAGTCCAAACTGTATTGAAGGCATTAATCAAAACACAGCTCCAAGAATTGACAGAATACCAATTAAAATGTTTCGACAAACCTATGCCAAGAAATTTGGAAAACAGCTACCTGGCCAACTAACTAGAAGAAAACTTGTACCTATTCCAAAGAAAGGTGATTCAACAGAATGCACATATTATAGAACAATATCACTGGTATCACATGCACGTAAATTTTTCCTGAAAATCACTCAACAGCAATTGCTATGGTACAGTGACAAGGAGCTGCCAGAAATTCCAGCTGAATTCAAAAGAAGACATGGAATAATCATTGCTGAAGTCATGGCTGAAAGCAGAGAATACCAGACCAATGTTAAATTGTGTTTGACTATGCAAAGGCATAGTAGATAATAAAATACTATGAACAGCATTGAAAAGAAAGGGGATTCCAGAGCACTGTGTATACTAAACCAGTGCACATGGATCCAGAGGAAGTTATGCAAACAGAACATGGGACATGGTTTAAAATCAGGAAAGGTGTGCATCGAATTGCATCTTCTCACCATACTTATTCAACCTGTAAGCTGAGCAGTGAATCAGGGTTATGTGAAGAAGAATGTGGCATAAAGATTGGAGGAAGCCTTATTAGCAACTTGTGATGATACATCCTTGCTTGCTGACACTGAAGAGAACTTGAAGTACTTCTGGATGAAGATCAAGGATTGCAGCCTCCAGTATGGGTTACAATTTAATATAAGGAAAATAAAAATTCTAAATGGACCAATAGGTGGCATCATGATAAGGACAGAAAAGAATGAAGTTGTCACAGATTTTATTTTGGGAGTCTACATAACTCCCTCCACATCACACTGGCCAGGGCCCCACTGTGTGTGTGTGTGGCGGGCCGGGGGGGCTGGAGGAGGTAGCCTCCACAACTGAATGAGTCCTTAAGGGGCAGTTGTATAATTGAAGGGTAAATTAAAGAACCATCAGACAAGGCATGCAAGGCCTCACCAATTCCATGGAAACTGGAACCAGAGAAAGTGAACACGTGTTCTCTCACAGGCTTATATAACCTCAGGCATGCAAGCCACATCATACGTATACATAACAGGAAGGGGGTGTGTTAGAGGCATACACGTAAGTGACAGGAAGGGAATATGCTAGGACACACATGACAGGAAGGTACATACGTACCAAGATGGATGGGTTCTACACTTGATTGATCTTAGCCAAAAGGCTGAGAAAGGATATGGGTTCTAGAGTTAAGATGGCAGCTTAACCTTTGGGTCATCTCTGAGCTGGCTTGACCGTAAGTGTCCCTGAGCGCTTCTCCAGGAAAACAATTTATGATCCTTATCAGAAGGGAGTGGGCCATACTTAGGGAGGGGTGGTCTGATCCATCTTGATGGCAGTTAACCTTCAGACAGATAACCTTCAACAGTTATCCTTCAACCTGGTAGTAGCAACCATGGGCTTGCAAACAGCATCTGAATCAGCATTATTACTGGGGGACATTGTGAGGAATAACCTTTAGTTATGAGAATAAGAATGAACTGGCTACTCCAGTCCATTTAATTTCTATGGGAAATTAAAACATTATATAATTAAGCCATCACTGTTAAGTCTATGTTTTTATGACCAAATGTAATTTTTAATTGATCACTTACCTTCAGACAGGTAAACAAAATGAATTTCTTTAGAGATGGGAAATCTGCAACCCAGAGAAGTTGAATAACTTGTACAATGTCAAAATAATGAAGAGATGGATCTTGGTCCTAGGCCTGATGTTTTTTCAATAGAAACTGCCTTTTAATAGGTCCTGTTTAAAAATAAAACTTATTTTAGAAATCACATTAACTATAAACAGCCTTATGAAACAGAAATGGTACATGATGACTCACTTGCAGAGAGTTGATTCTGACTCACAGTGACCCTACAGGACAGGGCAGAACTGCCCTGTGGGTTTGTGAGACTGTAAACGTTTACAGAATAGAAAGCTCCTCTCAGCTTAGCCTTTTGAACTGCCGACTTGTGGTTAGCAACTCAGACTGTAACCACCACGAAGCCAGCTGGGTTCCTAGACTATAGAGTTTGTAACATGCAGTGAAAAGAAAAAGTACCAAATTTTTATGATGTGGGTGGAGACTAAATTAGATCATTTTTCAATGAGGAGATATAATAGTAAATACACAGGACCAGAATACAAATATAATTCATTGTACCTAAGTTTTTCTGTACTCCTCCCTCCTTAAATAACCAAAAAAGGTCAGTTTAAAAGTTTCTTTTTCTCAATAGTCACAGGATATAAGGTTACTGTTCCTACTAAATCCTTAACTGAAATCCTTAATTTATATTACTATCACTTTTCTTAAAATCCTTAATTTATATTAGTATCACTTTTAAAATTAATCCTGACCCCAGGATCAGTGACAGAGACCAGTAATAAGAAGCATCCCAAATTCTTTTTAGAAACCCCATTAAACCCAAACCAAACCCAGGCCGTTGAGTGTGACGCAGAGCAGCCCTGCCTAACAGGGAGCGTTCCTCTGGGATTCCCAGTGCTGTAAATCTTGGCAGAAGCATCTCTCTCCCACGAAATGCTAATAGGTTCAAACAGAACTTTGGGTTACACAGTGCTTAATTGCTATGCTACTGTGAGTTGTCGTCAACTTGATGGCAGTGAGGTTTTCTGGTTTTGTCTTTTAGATAAATTAATTGAGAATATCGAACATAAAAATATCCTAATACCTGTCTCAGGGTCCTATGAAACCCTACTACCTAACTGTAAAACAGAAGGCATTCAGCTCATATGCAAACTAATGGGGATTATAATGATTTCTAAGCAGTCTGGAAAGAAAATAAGTAAATAAAATCTCTTTAAACTTTAAGAACACATATTTCTTTCTATGTTACATTTAATGTCAAGTTATCTATGGGGAAGAGTGGCCATATATATGCTGTATGCTAGAGATATATGGCCACTATTCACACAGCATGGTAAAAAAAATAAAGGGCAAATTGAATCGTCATCTCCCAATTTACTGGCTACTTAGAAAGCTAAGCAAACACTATTTCATGTTTGTTGACATGATGAAAATAAGGATGAATGAAAAGTGACAGGCACAGTGCATGCCAATAATCAATGCTAAGTATGTGAATATTAATGTCCTTTCCCTCTTGTACTGTAATAAAAGTCTATTCTGCAAATACTCAAAGTTCTAGAACTTAAGAAGTAAGAAATCATTTTGTCATACAATCTTTAAAAGCCATTCTTTTTTTATTTTTATTTTTGGCAATTGTGCCGGCTTTTAAAAGCCATTCTTTGAAAGGCCACATTAAACGCTCTCCTTGGAGCATTGGCACAGCCAAAGCTATGGTGCAGGGAGGAGAGGAAGGAATATGCCCAACAAAAGAAAGATGGGGAGGAATATACCCTCTTCCCCATCGCCATTCCAACAGCTGTGGGGAAATACACAGGACCAGAATACAAATACCTTCAGACAGGTAAACAAAATGAATGTTTCTTCCTCCAGGGCACTGCCCTGAACCAGGAGACTGCGGGGTGGGTTGCTTCTTATGTCAATGTCACACTCCTGGCATTGAAAAGGTGTGGGGTAAAGCAAATGGCTTTTGAGTTTGTTGATGGCAACAGTAGAAAGAGTAACAGATAAAGGGGTGTTCAACTATATCGCCCCCTTTAAAAATTAGAAGAATCTGAGAAAATGAGGTTCAAAATAACCAAACATATGTCCAGGTGAGCTGGGCTCCCAATATTTGCCTGTACCAAGACCACTAATACGGACATTAGTATTGCTGAGGGCCCTAACTGTGGAAAAGGACACCATTTGATCTCCTTTTGTTCCCACCCTAACCATTTGCAGTATCTGACTAATGAAATCGATACTGTTGCTTTTCTGTATCAGTCATGAGCATATGAGAGGGGTGTCAAAAGCTCAGGAGAAAATTACATTTTATTTCCATTCTATTTCTCCACAAACTTTTTAAAATCTCATATTGATTAAGAATACCATGTCTTCATTTTTGACACATAATATGTCTCACATAACTAAAAAGAAACTAAATAACAGTTGCCATGAATCCACTGTGACTCATGGTGACCCCATGTATTTCAGAGTACAACTGGTTTCCAAACAGGGTTTTCAAGAGCGTGATCTTTTGGAAACAGGTTGTCACACTTTTCTCCCAAAGTACCTCTGTATAGATTTGAAATGCCAGTCTTTAGAGTAGAATTGCTACATGTTGTTTCAAAGCTGTGAATTTACAGAAACAGATCACCAGGCCTGTGCTCTGAGCTGTGCTTCTGGCTGGGTGTGAAACTGTTAGGAACCAGCTTTTTAAAGTCTGTAAATTAGTCGGGAGCTCTTGTAGCAGAGTGGTTTATGAGTTGGGCTGCTATCTGCAAGACCAACAGTTTAAAACCATCAGTTGCTCCTAGGAAGAAAGATGAGGCTTTCTGCTCCCATAAAGAGTTACAGTCTCAAAAACCCATAGGAGCACTGACTTGTCCTATAGAGGTACTATGAGTTGGCAGCAACTCAATGGCAGTGAGGTTTCTGGTTTTGTTTTTTAGATAAATTAATTGCAAATATTGAACATACAAACACCGTAAGACCTGTCTCAGACCATAATGATGACAGTTTCCCTTTGTAGATCTTTATGTGTTTTTTAAAAGTTCACGAACTATAACCCTAAATATAGCCAACTTATTCATATTATTCAAAATTTATAAAGTTCATAAAATTCTAAAATATGTATCTAATTTAACAATTAATTTTCAATTTCTTTTAAAAGTCTAGACTCAATTCCTCCAACTACCCAATACTCAAAAGCATGTGCACTCTGGCCACCAAAAAGGTCTTTAAAAAGTAGAAACCAATATAATTGTTTGCCTAAGTAAAGCAACATTTTTTTGGTCTAGGGCAGCAGTTCTCAATCTGTAGATCAAATGACCCTTTCACAAGGGTTGCCCAATTCATAACAGTAGCAAAATTACAGTGATGAAGTAGCAATGAAAATAATTTTATGGTTGCGGGGTCACCACAACAAGAGGAACTGTATTAAAGGGTTGCAGCATTAGGAAGGTTGAGCACCACTGGTCTAGGGAGATACATACAAAATGATGCATAAATCCTTTTGTGCTCAGACAAAAAGACATTAGTATTGATCATGGAGCCCTGGTGGTGTAGTGGTTACTCAATGGGCTTGAAATCCACATGGTTGGCAGTTCAAAACCCCCAGCAGAAAATTATGAGCTCTCTACTCCTGTTATAACAGTTATAGTCTCAGAGACATACAGGGGGTCAGTATGACTCGATGACCATTTTACTGATCATGATACTTGTGTATTTTTTAAACAACAACAACAACATTACCATCATAACCTGTTCAAAGTGACCCCAAATAGGATTTCCTAGAGTAAATCTTCGTAAGAGAAGACAGCTTCATCTCTCTCTAAAGGAGTGACTGGCGGGTTTGAACCACAGATTTTGCAGTTAGTAGCCCAATGTTTTATCCCACAGTGCCACCTGGTCTCCTGGCTCATATAGTAATGCCCATAATTTATAACATAGTTTGAAAGCTACTCTTATTGCCTGCATTAGTACTTTCATTTCAGCTGAAATTTACATAACAAAAACCAACTTGGCAGAAGGCATCCTGGAAAAGTTATGTCTAGAATGTGTGTCCATCGCTTCTCGGTCTTTTGGCTAAGATCAAGTGTAGAAGGTGTGCTCTCTCTTGGGAATCAGAAACAGGTAAGTTAAGAGAGCTGAAGGAGGGCAGCATGGAGTAGCCACAGGAGACAGAAATGCATTCTTGGCTCAAACTAGAAAGTTTTGAGCAGATCGTAGAGGGGCCGAAGAATAAGATGAAAAGTGCCAGTATTCATCCTAATAATAAAAGTGAAATGGCAAACCCTATTTAAGATTTCATTTCTAATTCTAAAAGTACATGGTACTATCTTAAATTTTTGGCCCTATCAACCTGAGAGCATTTGTTGAGTACTTCAGGTTTTATAAAGCAAAAACACACTCAGCTTAAATCAGGATGGGTACTAACATAATTTCTATAAAGGAAAAGATGCAAGAATCTGGATAGTTCCAGAATCTAATCATTTCACGGCTTTATCAGGAAAGTCCATAACAAAACAAAAACCCAAAACAAACCAAAACAAACACAAACCCATCGACTGACTCATAGCAAGCCTGTGTAGGGTTGCAGAGGCTTTGTAAAACTTTACCAAAGCAGATAGCCTCACCTTTCTCCTGATAAGGAGCTGATGGGTTTGAACTACTGACCTTGTAGTTATAAGATCAACACTTACCCTACAGCAACACTAAAGTTTCCTTTAGGCTAAAACCAAACACCAAAGTCAATGCTATCAAATCCATTCCAACCCAACAACTGTATAGGACAGAATAGAATTGCCCCTGTGGGTTCCCAAGACTGTAGTCTTTACAGGAATAGAAAGCCTCATCTTTTTCCCAAGGAGCAACTGGTGGTTTAGAACTGATGGCCTTAGGGTTGGCAGCCCAATGCATAACCTGCTACAACTTCAGGGTGTGGGAAGCCCTTCAGAAATAAATAAATTGATGTAAAAGCTAAAAGTTCTCTGATCCAAATCGATCATACTACTAGTCATATTGCTTTATTTTTGCCAGTTACTAAAAGTAACTGTCTAATGAGCTCTTTCAGGAGCCCTGTAAGCACAATAGTTAAGTGCTCAGGTAGTTAGGAAAAGGTTGGCAGTTTAAACCCAACAAATATCTCCATGGGAGAAAGCCCTGTTGATCTGCTCACACAGCACCAATGTAAGTCAACATCGCCTTGACAGCATCTAAAAATAGTTCTTCACACTTTCCTGTAGGGAAAGTTCATGATCTCCTTCGAGGAAAACAGGCAAGAGCCTGGATGCTACCTGAATCTAAATATTTAACAGAAATTGCCAGAAAAAGCCTTGAGAAAAATAATTGAAATAGGTTGTAAAAGAAGCTACATACCACCGAGTCAACATCTGTCATACCCCAAATCATAATGCACTGTTTTAACCCAGTTCTTCAAAACAACTCTTTAAATTCTTTTACAGGTAAAGTCAAGGAGCCCTGGATACGCAGTGGGTTCAGCATTGGGCTGCTAACCACAAGGTCCAGGGTTCTAATCCATCAGCCCCTCAATGGGATAAGGCTTTCCAAACCAGGAAACCAGAGCAGGCAGTTCTACTCTGTGCTGAAGTTCTATTTTGTTCTGTGGGATCACAAAAGTCACAATCAACTGTAAGGTCGAGGGAAAAGCCACAATCACCAGCAAACAAAATTGACTGCTAGAAATAATAGTTCCATTTAACCTCCCTCTTTCTTTTTAAATTTTTGTTACAAAGGTAACATGTAATTTCGTGTTCATACTCATCAATAGATTCATTAGCCTTAACAGAAGGCTTATAGTAGCCCGGACACCATGGCATAAAATGTACAACATCCAGCTGAGGAGTTCAGAGACCACTTTGAGCATTTCAAGAGGTTGTGTCGCCCAGAAGTCAGGATGTGGTTCTTGCTCTCCCCTCCCCAGGACCATATTGTAAAAAATAAGTGTCATCCTACAACCGTTGTCAGACCAAACCCAATAACCACATTTGCTCACTTCGCAGGTGAAACGTGGAAGTAACGTCTTTCCCGCGCCCTAACACTGAAAGCATTAGGCTCACCTAATGAATTGTCACTTCAGGGAAAACACTAACACAGCTGACATGAACTTTCGGCTCTCCTGGCGCGGGAGGGGTGAGGATCAGCCCCGAAGTGGTGGGTGCGCCCTCCTCATCCGTGGACATGCCCCTGGCCAACCTGCCCGTCCCGGGGTCAACGCTAAGCTGGACACCACCGCCCCCCGGCCGGCCTCCGCCTGCACCCCGCCAAGAGCCCGCCTTCCTCCCGGAACGACTGGACGCCCCGCAGGCAGCGAGAGAGCTAGAGCTGGGCGCCCCCTCTCCAGCGGAGCCAGGCCACTCAGCGGCCCCGCCAGCCTGACACTGGCCGAGCAGGACGTCCGAAAACCTGAGCCCCACCTCACGACGCCCCCAGCCCTCCACTCTACCCAGCCCTCTGGCCTCACCCACCTCAGGCCGCCAGCTCCGCCTTGGCGCGCGGGCTGAGTGGATACAGCACGCTGGCCGTCTCTCCAGCTGGTCCCCAGCCCTTGAGAGCCTGGTCCTTCTACGTAAGGTACACACCCGCCTCCCCGCTGCCATGGTGACAGCCCCGCCCCCTCGCAAGCCGCTGATAGGCCCTGCCTGGGATCGCGGAGGGCTCCCATTGGCCGGGGCGGGGACAAGGGGCGCCAGCGCGGGCGTCGGCGGGCGGTGCGAGGCGCGAGCGCAGAGGAGCCTGGGGGAGGCTGAGCTTAGAGGGACGTGGCGTTCTGCGGCGCGGGCGGAGCAGCCGCGCCTCTTCCCTTCCTGGTTTTCCCGGAGGAGCCCGTCGAGCAGGTCCCGGGTGGATGAGGTGTTACGGTGCGAATGGGACGGATTCCCAGAGATCGCCTCTTCTCGGCTTCAGGCCCGTGCTGGCAGCGGCTCAACCAGAGAGACGGGCTGCCAGGGTCATCCTCGCCCGCAGGCCTCGCTCGGGTTGACACCCGGGACCTCGAATTTCTACCCTCGCCCCAACCCGTCCGTCTCCTCTCTACACCTCCCTTTACAGACATCCACTCCAAACTCCTAATTATGAAGATGAGGAAACAGGCTCAAAGATACACGCGATTCAAGAGCTAAAGAAGTTTTTGGAGCCTCCAGATTAATTTCAAGCTTGGGTCGGCCAAATAGTAGCAACGTTCTGCGCCTTAGTTTTGTCGCCTATTAAGATAGGTAATGTGGATTTCTCGTTTACAGGGATTCTCAAATTTCCTAAAGTTCCTAGCCTACCGGGAAATGACCGGTGTCATGCCAGCTCTCCTGGGACAGCTTTGTAGACATTGAATTCTTAAGTAACGTCTACCTTAGTTCTTTTAAAGTGGCTGGTCATATCTGATTAAGTGATCATCATTCTTAAGTGTGACATTCCAGATAAGGCTTTGGTTACACAAGAGATTTTCCTCATTATATCTAGGTGAAATGGAAGAGAATATAAGGGGAGGGTATAGATTGGATACTGTCAAAAAACAGGGATAATTCTATGGTTTGGCACCTCAGACTAGAGCAAAGCTAAAACTGTGATTGGTAAAGGTACACATTCAGACGTGACATGAGGTGATCATGTTTTGTTTCAGTTCTTCATGATCACGATGGCTTTGTCTGATTTGATGATCTGTGTGTTAGGTCGTGTCCCTTCAATAAGAAAACATTAAGATCTAGCAGTGAATGCTATATCAGCATAAAACTTGTGGATAGCCACACCAACTCCCAGTAACTGATAGCATCAGAATGACTCCCGAATGCCAGGTGCTGCTTTTATTCCTTAAGAATGTTAGTTTGGACAGATGTCTCTCACGCCTGCTCACTCTACGTATCCGTCATACCGTAACCGGTGTACATAGCTGGAGAACATCAAAAACGATCACGACCAGGAAGACGCCGGATTAAAAAAAGGAAAAGTTTGATCAGTGAACCTATACAAGCTCATTGCCATCGTAGATGCAGACTCATAGCGAGCTCCCAATAGGTTTCTGAGACTAACTTTTTACAGGAGTAGAAAGCCCTGTCTTTCTCCCTGCAGGCTTTGAACTGCTGACTATGCAGATCACAACCTAAGGCATAACCACTACACCATCAGAGCTCCTTTATAGATTTATGAAAAATAATTCAAGTAGTATAAAATGTAGTTGTGTCATAGTCCCTCTCCAATATTGTTTTTATTTTAATTAAAAGTAAAACTAATAAGACATGTACCAAGCGTGTCCACTCTCTGTGCTTTCTGTAAATTTATTCTTTTGCCTAATATTCTCTCTAGTCTTCTGTCAATTCATTTGCCCAGGCGGAATTCAAGCTCAGTTCCCGGCAGGAAGTCTTGCTTATCTGACTTATCCTTAGTTCCTCCTTTATGTTTCTCTTGGTAACTTCAAATTTTCTCCAATCCAGCCTTTCTACGATCCTTATTTTTCTTGGTAGCATTTGATGTTGTGGGGAAGCCACCCCTTGGCACTCTTTCCTCCTTTGGCTTCTTTAACAGAGTGTTCTTCTGAATGCCTTCCTTCCTCACCTTTGCAGGGCTGCTTGAACTTTTTCCACTCAAGACCTTTCTTGCCCGAGAAATTTACAATACAGGCAAGCATTCACTGCCAGAACTCTTCAGATTCATTACCTATTTGATTTTCAGTTAAATGATGGTCATCGCGCATTCAGAAACATTTTGACAGTTGTCACATTTCTTATCACCCTCGCAGTTTAAGAAGCTTGAATCTTTTCTAAGGATATCCTTACATTGTGCACATTTCTTTCTTTGTAATGCCTGACCCTTCGATAATCTATACTGCTCATGCTCATGTGGCAAGGAAAGGCAGGCTAAGGGCAAGCAATGGCTTCAGATGGGCCCCCAAGCACTGAGGCCGCCCTTGAAGGATGTCAACTTACAAGGGATATGGCCATAGCCTCCTAGAAATCTAGTACAAAGACAAGTCCCAAAGTATTGCTACTAGGGTTCCAGTTTATACATACACAGTTTATTCCAAACAAACTGTTCTTAAGCTGCAGACAAGTTCTCTAATATATTTGTCAAAGTCCCACTAGGGTGCCTTAAAAAAAAAAGGGGTCCAATCAGAACAGTGGCTTCTAAAGTGTGGTGAAGAAAACAAGTGGTGCCCAGCTATCGGAAAGAATAGTGTGTGTGGTCCTAAAGGCTTGTCTTCAAACAAGTAGCCATCTACATGAGACATCAGCTAAGCTCACACAGTAGAAGCACACCAGTCTATGTGGTCCAAGGATTGTACAGAATAAAATCCAGATCCAGAGAAGGGAACAATATTAGAGCTTAAATTCTGAACACCTGGTTTGTAGAAGTCTATGGATGTCAATGAAAGCCCAAAACCTATTTTCAGGGTCCCACACGGGATTAAGCCTCTGGTAAATCCCCTCAGACTGTGAACTAGAGTTAAGAAGGGCCCTGTTACTCCCTCAACACAAGAATACTTTCTTCTAGTAAATTGGCATTCTATGACGCTCACCTTCCCGACACAACCGCTGATGACAAAGCGGGTGAATAAGCAAATGTGGTGAAGAAAGCTGATGGTGCCCGCTATCAAAAGAGATAGCGTCTGGGGTCTTAAAAGCTTGAAGGTAAACAA